GGCGGGCGGGGCTGCGGCTCCGGGGGCGGAGCGGGGGCGGGAGCCGGGCTGGCGGCGGGACCAGGCTGAGGCCGCGGGCGGGGAGGGCGGGCGGAAGGCGACTCGGCCTGGGCACCGGCCAGGGCGGTGCGGCTGAGGAGCTGCCCCGGCCCAGCCCGGCCCGGCCCGGCCCGGCCCGGCCTCGCGCCTTCCGCCTCCCGCCCCTGGCTGGCGCGACCCCGGGGACGCCGACTGCGGGGAGGGGAGGGGAGGGGAGGAGAGGGGCGGGGACGGCGCAGCCCTGGGCTCCACCGGGGCTCCGACCCGGGCCGGCTGGCTCCCGCCGCCCTGGGCGCCGCCTCACACCCGGGGCGGGAGCGGCCCGCGCCCGCGGCCTCTCCCGGCCTCTGGGCCTGTGGGGCTCCGACGCGCCCCGGAGGCCTCGGCGCGGCCCAGGCCGCCCGCTAGAGGGACGAGCCGTGCCTGCGCGGCCGCGGGCGGGCGGAGCGGAGCGCGAGCGCCTCTGGAGCCCGGAAGAGGTCTTCCCCGAGACCTGGGCGAGCCGGTCCCGGGCACCGCTGTTAGGCGAAAGGAAGCAGGAGTGGAGTGGGCCTTGGGCGCTCGGGTTCGCCTTCAATGGCTGGTCACCGCCTCATAGGAGAACAGGCTTGCGGGCTTGGGGGCGTGGGGACGCTCAGACATGTTGCCTCTGGGGGAAAGCAAGGGCCGCGCGGGGAGTGGAGTCGGGCGGGGGTCTGGTAACCTCTCAGGGTGGACTGGCATTTCGTGGGCTTACCAAGGGGCTATGCCTGCACGGCAAAAACTTGGAGAGGCGGGCAGAGGATCACGAGGATGACCCCGCAGGCCTTTCCAGGAACCTGGGGTACCTGGGGCTGTGGCGTTCAGGCAACAGGGAGGTCGGAGTGTGGGAACTAGCAGGCTGGTTCTGATGCCAGGCGGGACTGCTAAGCGTGAAGAAATTCCTCCTCAAGAAACCAGGAAAGACGTGACACTTGGCAAAAGGGCTGGAACTGACATTCAGCTGGGCCTGAATCTGCTGCGAGCCAGGCCCTGAACAAACCGAACACTTGGATGAGAAGCATGTTAGTGATGAAGCAATGAAGGCAGTTAAGAGAAATGATTCTTTCCAGAAGTTTGGCAGGGAGAGGGAGAGAAAACTAGGCCTCTATCATAAGGAGGAGTAAAAAGAAAGGTTTGTTTCATTTTTTCCAGTTTGAGAGAGCGATAGCTCAAGTCAAGGAGCCAAAGGGAGATGGAATAGTTTGTATCCCAGAAAAGGTGGGAAGGAGGAAGTCCAAGAAAAGGGTGCTTTGTCCAACAAGATTTGAAGGGTGAATAAAGAGAAATATTTGTCCCGGGTGGTGGTGCGTGTGTGTAATCCCAGCTCTTGAGAGAAAGAGGGTTTGAGTTCAAGGCCAGCTGGAGTTACTCATTGAAAGCCTGCCTTAAAAGCCAAAAAGAGAAAAGGGAAGGGTTTTATTTATTTATTTGAGGCAGGGTTTCTCGTATATAACCTTGGCTGTCCTGGGACTCGTTCTGTAGACTCGTTCAATTCAGTGCTGGGATTGAAGGTGTACAACCACCGCACCCGACAGAACTTCTTTTTAAAGTCAGGGAGTCACGCATGTTGCCACAGATCGGCTGCCAAGATGGCCCTATGTGGCATCCAGAAACAAGTAGATTGTCTTTTACGTTTTAGTGATAGTCGGTTCAAATTCCCATGAATACCTGTAATCCCAGCGTTCTACTCCTGAGACAGAAGGCTGGATAATCCGGATTTTAAGGTTTTTATCTTGGTTATAGACCCACTTTGAGACTAGCTTGAGGTACATGAGATCTTGCCCCCCCCACCAAAAAACAAGAACAAAATCTATACAACTCAATATAAAAAATGACACAGCTAGCATAGCTGATATTATCGCCAGAAGTTTGTGGAGCACTTGATTTTTTTTCCCTAAATATCTGTGGTCCCAGCTTGTTTATTTTGTGTGCATTCCTGTGTATGTGTGGAGGTCAGGGGACAACTTGGGAGAGTCCCAAGTTGCACCATGCGAGTCCCAGAGATTGAACTTGCATCATAAGGCTTGGCACCAAGAGTCCTTGCCCACTGAGCCATCTTTACCAGCCCTGACCCTAAACTTATTGTTTAAAAACAACAAAAAACCCTTACAGAAATTTGTCTCCATTCCCTGATTATCACTCCATTTATCCCTCCCCCACTCCAATAATGTACTATACCCATGAACAAAATGCCAAGGATTAAAAAAAAAAGTTAAATAAATTAGAGTTTATTTGTAGCCATTAAACTATGTTGAGGGGCTGGAGAGATGGCTCAGTGTTTAACAGTGCTCTTTAAGACTGCTCTTGAAAAGGACCTGAGTTTGATTCCCAGCACTCACCTCAGCTTGCCTCTGGCCTTCTCAGGCTCTGGAAATTGTATGCATGACCACACACACATAATTAAAAATTAATCTTAGCCTGATAGTGGTGGTGCATGCCTTTCATTCAAACCCATGGGAGGCAGAGGCAGGCAGAGCTCTGAGTTTGGGGCTAGTCTGGTCTACAGAGTTAAGTTCTGAGATAGCCAAGGCTACACAGAGAAACCCTGTCTCAAAAAACAAACATAACTAAATCTTTAAAATAAATGAGTAGCCGGGCTTAGTGGCACAGACCTGTAATCCCAGCACTCTGGGAGGCAGAGACAGGTGGATTTCTGTGAGTTCAAGACCAGCCTGATCTAAAAAGTAAGTCCAGGATAGCCAGGGCTGCACAGAAAAACACTGTCTCAAAAACAACAACAACAAAAATCTATGTAAAGGGATAGATAGCACAAAGATTTGGAATACCCACCAAGAGGGCTGTTTGGCCAAAGCCCAGGACTTCTGTAGAGAGCCTATCTAGAATAGCAGGGGAGGACTGAAGCACAAGTGAGTCAGGCTGAACTCTAGACCTGGACGAACCACTGGAGCTTGAACTGTGCGGGCAATACAGTTTGAAGTGGATTTTACCTTTATCTCTTACTCGATAAGGTTGTATGCTTTGGCCCTTTGGCCCTAATAATTAGGTGTTTGTTTGACTCAGAACAATGAGGCAGGGAGAACAAGTAGTATATGCCAGTTGTCTATACAATGAAAATCGACCATAGCTTCTCTAATTATTAATTACAATTTTTTACTAAACTATAGAATTTTGTGTAGATAAAAAATCAGAGAGATTGAAAAAAAAAGGGAAAAGAAACATGCATCTTAAATTAGGGTGCAAAAAATGTTCATTTTTTTGGTTAAATTTTAATAATTTTTTCTGTTTATGTATTTGTGTGAATAAAGCCCATATATGGGTGGCTGTCCCCAGAGCCCAGAAGAAAGTACATAGACACATGTGGGCTACTAGACGACCCTGAAGCTGAGTATTATAGGTGGTTGTGAGCTCCCTGAGGTGGACCCTGGAAACCATCGTGAGAACTGAAGTTGGGTCCTCGGAAGCAGCAGGTGCTCTTAACTAAGAGCCGTCTCTCCACCAAGTTATCCTCCCCTCCTCTGCAATAGGGCCTGGCTCTGCTCAGGCTGTCCTAGAACCTACCTCTGTAGCCCAGCCTGGCTTTGAGCCCCTGACCCTCTTTCCTTTACCTCTTAAAGCTGGGATAATAGGCATGTACCACCACACCCAATTTGTGCAGTGTTGGGGATCAAACCCAGGGCCTCATAGACGCAAGATAAGTGTTGTACTAGCTGAGCTATATTCCTAGACAATCCCCCCTTGGGGGGGGTTGGGTTTTTTTTGAGACAAGGTTTCTCTGTGTAGCCTTGGCTATCCTGCTCTCACTCTGTAGACCAGGCCGGCCTTGAACTCAGAGATCCTCCTGCCTCTGCCTCCCTGAGTGCTAGGATTACAGGCTTGTGCCACCACTCCCAGTTCTATTCCTAGCCCCTTGATTTTTGATTTTGAGATAGGGTGTAGATACAGTTCAAGCTGGTCTTAAACTTCCATTTTGCTCCTCAGCCTCCTGCTCCTTCCTTCTTACCTCCCTTCCTTCTTTCTGTAATACTGGTGATTAAACATAGGGTCTCCCAAGGTTCATGCATACTAGGCATCCCAAGACTACAAACTTACTTGAAATAGTTTAGGTTTGGTATGACTATCATAGATATCAAATAAACCAGATGTGGTTGCATATCCCTGCAATCCCAGCACTTGGGAATTGGAAGCAAGAGAAACAAGTTTGAGAAAGTTTCAGGCCAGCCAGAACTACATAGTGAGACTCTGTCACAAAACGGATCCTGATACATACACACTTCAAATTATTAGACTACTGAGTGCATTAGCAAAATGTAGATATACCTTCCAGTACTCACCCCTGATGAAATTGGTACATTCAGAGAAAGTGCTGGCAACGTAAATTAGCACAAGCTTTTAAAAGCAATTCAAAGAGCCTCAATACAAACGTGAGTTCCAAGGTGGGTGGCAGTGGTGCATGCCTTTACTAATCCCAGCACCTCATAGGTAGAAGCAAGCACAGCTCTGTGAGTTTGAGGCCAGCCTGGTCTACAGAGCAAGTTCCAACACATCCAGGGCTACCCAGACAAATATCTAAAAAAAGAAAAAAAAATGTGAGTCCCTTTTGCCTCACCAGTACACTCCTAGAAACTTCTTGAGAACAGTCCTCCCTCAAGAAATAACTACATGCACAACAATGTTTCCTATGACTTTATTTGTGATAACTTGTAAACACAGTAAATTAGCTGATGTGTATAACATTGTATAACTACACAGATAAGAGGCTGACTTGGAAACATTTGATTATGTAGTAAATTATAAAAGATACAATTCTCTAGTGTTACTAAGAGCTATTGAGCTACATACGATAAATGTTGCTTTTCCTTACAAGATCAATTGTGTATTTTCTGCTTTTGTATCAGCCAAGAGCAGCAGGAAACAGATGGACCACTCAAAATGTGTAACTGAAGAGAAACAATGTACAAAGATAGGGAAACTGACAAGGAATAGTGACCCGCCCTCTGTCTGCAGGGAAGTCACTATCAATCATCAGCCTAAAAGGCCAGAGATGATACAGTTAGCAGTGCTGGTTAGCTCTAAGACAGGAAGGACCAACAAGATCTTAAAGGCACATAGACTTGCTTTCTTTCAACTCTGCTACAGTACCTCACACTATTTGAACCCAAATGGACGCTAAGGTCAATTGAGCCCAGGTGAACTGTTTTTCAAGGTCAGCCTCTATAGAAAACGAGCAGAGTGGAGGAGCGTGAGGAATGGGTCAAAGGGCAAAGGCAGCTATCTAATTATGTGCAAACTGGGATTGCAGATGTAATTCAGTGTAAACACTTGTCCAGCATGTACAAGGTGCCTGAGTTCAACTACACAAGAAAAAAAGAAAAATTTAGAAATTAAAAAAAAAAAAAAACCCAAAAAACAAAAACCTAAGCATGTAGTGAAGGACCTCAAGGGAACCCGGGAAAGCAAGTTATCTAGAATTTGAAAGCACGGGTACCCAGGAAGCAGGGCAGATAGAGGGCAGGAAAGACTGATTCATGCTGAGGCGAGGGTGATAGCTCCAGGTGAGGCCATTCTATTGTTTGTTATAACATTGCACCGGAGTGTAAGCCAGAAAAAAGTTAATCAGAAATGTACATAAAAAGGTTGGAGAGCTACCTCACATGGTGACAAGTGCTCTCTACACAGGTTTGAGGGCCTGCGTTTGTTCCTCGGCACCAACAGAGGACGCTGGGCGTGAGCCAGGTGTGGCATGCCTTTGATCCCAGCTCTCAGACGGCAGAGGCAGGTGGGTCTCCTTCAAAGTCAGCCTGGGCTACAGAGAGAGTTCCAGGACAGCCACGACTACACAGAGAAACCCTGTCTCAAAAACAAAAACAAAAAAGCTGGGTGTGGTGATACACAACTTGTAATGAAAGCGCTAAGGAGGTACAGGCTGCCAGATCCCTGGAGTTCACTGGCCAGCAACCTCGCCTAATCAGGGAGCCCTAGGGACCACAAAACATGGGCTGGAGAGATGGCTCAGCTGTTAAAGGCTAGGCTCACAATCATAAATATAAGAGTTCGGTTCCCAGCACCCAGGGCTGACTCTCCAGCCACCTAAAAAAAAAAAGGCCAAAACATCTCCAAAACATGGTAGACACACCTGAGGATCCACACCAAAGGCTGATTTCTGTCCTCTATATACACACCCATACAACCCCCCACCTACATATACATGTACAAAAATCATTTTTAAGACATTTAAAAAGATGTATATGAGTTTAAATGGGGTTAAGTCATCTGTAGCATACACCATAGACAGTAGTGTAGATTGTTCTTTCCTAGCAAAACTTCATGCAGTCAGCACATAATTATGCTGTACCTATCCTGTACCAGGAACTGCCAGGCCCTGGGGACTGAAGCGGAAACAAAATTAACCTCCTTGCTCTGTGGCATTTACATCCTGGTGGGGGTGGGCAGACAATGCTTAAGTGGTGATAAGAGGACTAGAGGAAAGCGGAATAGTTCTGCCCACTCTCTTACCTGCGATAAACCTCTTGATTTGAACCACATAACGCATTGTGTTCCAAACCCTCTGGGCAAACTGAGCTGTTGGTGTCTCTCACTTAGCCTAAGATCATAATGTCCGTAATTGACCTTCCTGCCTCCTGCATCCTCCGGCTTCGAGGATCACTCTGAAATAAGTCATCTCAGTATCCTGCTTAAAACTCTTCTATAATATTGAGTAACAGCTAACCTGCTTATCACCACCCCTTTCTTTTTTTTAATTTTTAAATGTTTATTTTTATTAATTACAGTTTATTCGATTTGTATCCCCCCTGTACCTCCCTCCCTCCTCCCCTCCCAGTCCCACCCTCCCTCTTCCCTATCTCTGTCCTCCTCCCCTTCCCTCTGATCCTAGATTATCAGGTCTCATCAGGAGTGGCTGCATTGTCTTCTTCTGTGGCCTGGTAAGGCTGCTCCCCCCTCAGGAGGAGGTGATCAAAGAGCAGGCCAATCAGTTCCTGTCAGAGACAATCCCTGTCCCCATTACTATGGAAGCCACTTGGACACTGAACTGCCATAGGCTACCTCCGTGAAGGAGTTCCAGGCCATCTCCATGAGTGGTCTTTGGCTGGAGTATCAGCCTCAGAAAAGACCCCTGGGCCCAGACTTCTTGGATCTGTTGCTCTCCTTGTGGAGCTCCTGTCCTCTCTAGGTCTTACTATCCCCCACTTCTTTCATAAGATTCCCTGCACTCTGCCCAAAGTTTGGTTATGAATATCAGCATCTGCCTCAATACCCTGCAGGGTAGAGCCTTTCAGAGGCCCTCTGTGGTAGGCTCCTGTCCTGTTTCCTGTTTTCTCCCTCCTCCTCCTCTGATGTCCATCCTCTTTTCCTTTCTGAATGGGACCACTCCTTTCTTATCTCCTGTTCATCCTTCATTTCTGCTTCCCTTCATTTCTGCCTCCCTCATTCCTTATTTTCCTTTTCACCTGCTATTACCTGTAGTTTATTGAACATGCCATGTTGCCTCTAGTTTCTGGTGCGTTCTACAGACTGTGTTTCTGCTCATTTTCTTTTTGCATTATTTGGGCTTGAAGCCAGGCTTTGCACATGCTAGACAAGAGCTCTACCATGAACCCTTTCACTCTTACCTTATTTTTAATACGTATATGCATTTTCCATATGTGTGCAGGTGGTGTGTGTGTGTGTGTAGATACAGAGGCTAGAGGACAACCTTGGATATTGTAATTGTTTTAAGATGTATTTATTATGTATATAGTGTTTTGCCTGCATGTATGTCTACAAACCAGAAGAGGGCACCAGATCTCATTATAGATGGGTATTAGCCATCGTGTGGGTGCTGGGAATTGAACATAGGACCTCTGAAAGAGCAGCCAGTGCTCTTAACCACTGAGCCATCCCTCCAGTCCCATCAGATGTTGTTTCTCAAATTTCCTTTCACCTTGCTTTTTGAGATAAGCTCTCTCATTAACTTGAAGCTCACAGGTAAGAGGCTGGCTGAGTAGATCCCCCAGGGATGCTCTTCTCTCTGCTTCTCCAATGCTGGGGTTACAAATATGAACCACCACTCCTTACATTTTCACATGGGGATCAAGCTGGAAGTTATTGCCCCGGTTCAATTTATTTATACTATTTTTTTATATTTGTTCATTTTATTTGTTTGTTTGTGGTTTTTCAAGACAGGGCTTTTCCAGGCTGTCCTGGAACTCACTCTGTAGATGAGCTGGCCTCAGACTCAGAGATCTGCCTGCCACCACCTCCTGAGTGCTAGGATTAAAGGTGTGTCCAACCATCCCCTGGCTTCAAATTTTTATTTTTATTGAAACAGTTTTTTACATTTTATTTTGTATGCACCTGTGCCATGGTGCCACATGTTGAGGTCAGAGAAACTTAGTTCTTGTCTTCTATTCTGTGGGTCTCAGATTGTCAGGTTTGGTGACAGCCATCTTTACCAACTAAGCCATCTACCACCACCATCCTCCGTCTTTGATTTTGAGTCAGGATTCGCCCTAGTTTTCCAGGCTGACCTTGAACTCACTTTGTAGCACTTGAATTCAGAATCTTCCTGTCTCAGGCTCCTGAATAGCTATGATTACAGACTCGTACTACAAGGCCTGGCTTTATTTTCTTTTTTCTTTTTAGTTTTTTTCAAGACAGGGTTTCTCTGTGTAGCCTTGGCTGTCCTGGACTCACAGAGATTGACCTGCCTCTGCTGAGATTACAGGTGTGTGCCATTGTACCATAGGCCTGGCTTTCTTTCCACTTATTTCTTGTATTTCTTCCCACACCCTATGTTATAACCCTCTGTTCATTCTTCTACAACTGTCAATGGTTACTGACATTTCCAGAGATAAGTATTTTCTGGCTCCTTCCAGAATATTTTGTAGGTACCAGTGAATGTATTTATCATACTAAGTAATCTGTTCAGGCAAGATTTTATTAAATATAGTACCTAGATGAAGATAGCATATTTACTGATCCACATGTTTTCTCTTTTCTTTGGAGGCAGCATATTTGGGAATGGAATCCAGGACCTCATTCATACTCTACATATTCTCTACATTTCTGGCTACATTTCTAGCTCTGGGTACCTTCTTTTGTTGACTGTAACCCAACCTAAAAACTAGAATTGACAACGTACACATATCCTTTCACATAACACCCATTATTGCTGGATTGTAGCTCAGTGGTGAAAATGTTTTTTCACCATGTGCAAGGCCCCAGCTTCAAGCCATTACTGGAGGTATGGGCTTATGTTTGCCATTTTTCTTGTTCTTAAAAAACTTTTTAAGCTGGGCACACCTATAATTCCAGCCCTTGGAAGGCAGGCAAATCTCCATGGGTTCAAGGCCAGCCTGGTCTACATAGTTCCAGGACAGCTAAGGCTACAAAGTGAGACCCTGCAGCAACAACAACAAAATTCCCCCTGGGGTCAGTGACATGGCTTAACAAGTCACCTGAGTCTGATCCCTTGGACCCTCATTTTGGAAGGAAAGAACCAGCTTTCAATAGTTGTCCTGTGACCTACACACACACACACACACACACACACACACACTAAACATACAAGTGAGTTGTTTTTAAAGCATGTGTATGTATTCATGTGTATGCACTGTGTATGAAGGCCAGAACGTTTTCATGTATCCTTCCTGTCTACCTTGCAACTCGGTGCAGGGCCTCATCTGGAGCTCACCAAGTATGCTGGGAGCCTGGGACTGGAGACATAGCCCAGCAGTTAAGAGAGTGCATAGATTCTCCAGAGAACCTGAGCTCCGTTCTGTCTGTAGCTGCAGATGACTTCCAAAAAGCATCCACATACACATGGCATACACTTACACAGAAAGGTACACATAAGTAAAAATAAAATCTTCCTTTTTAGTATGCCAGGCCTCTTGGCCTGCTCCAGCAATCCACCTGCTCCTCCCAGCCCTGGGAATTGCAGGCAGATTTCACTATGCCTGGCTTTTCTGCCTGAGTCCTGGGGACTGAACTCAGGTTGTCATGCTTGGAAGGCTAGCTGAGCCGTCTTCCCAGACCTCCCTCAAAAAAATCCATTTTTATGAAAAGTAAAGTTGGATGTGATAATGCCTATTGTTTCAGTGCACAAGAGGCAGAGGCAGGAGGATCACTATAAGTTCAAGGCCAACCCGGTCCACATTGTGAGTTCCATGGTAGCCAGGGTTATACAGGGAGACCCCTAAGAGAAAAAGAAAAAAGTTGATGTTGAATGTATTTTTGTATATTTACTAGCTATATAAAATTTTTTCTCTTTCATGAAGTTTCTGTTTGTGCCTCTTTTGCCTTCCTCCTTTTCTGGGGATCGAGGGTGCCTTTTTTCAGTGTAATCAAGTACTGTGCCCCTAAGCCACTTCGAGTCATCCCACGTAAACCGAGCTTGCCTAACGTGTGAGGCCCTGGGTCTGATCCTCAGCACTAAACATAAACACATGATTACTTAAAGAAAATCCACAGTGGCACATGCCTGTAATCTCAGCACTCAGGGAGGCAGAAACAGGGGGATCTCTGTGAGTTCAAGGCCATCCTGGACTACAAAGTGAGTCCAGGACAGTCAAGGCTACACAGAGAAACCCTGTCTCAACAAACAAACAAAAATAAATAAATAAATAAATAAATAAATATTTGAAAAAAACAAACAAAACAAAACAAAACTTTTTTTTACTGCTACCTCCACCAGCCTGCTTCCAAACAGGAATAATTCCCATGAATTTTGTTCCACATAGATAGAAATATAAGTGTACTCATTGACATACACACACACAACATACAAAACATAAACGCTGGGCTCCACACTCACTCACCATTGCCCTACCACTGAGCTGCATCCCACGACCAAAATATTTTTAAAGACCAGATCGTTCTGTGTAACCAAGGCGGGCCTCAAATCTCAAACTCATTATACAGCTCAAATGAGCTAGCTGGCTCTGTGTCACCCTGACACGAGCTGGAGTCATCAGAGCGGAAGGAGCCCCAGCTGAGGAAATACCTCCAAGAGATCCAGTCATAAGGCATTTTCTCACTTAGTGATAAGTGGGGGAGGGCCCAGCCCACGGTGAACGGTGCCTGTTGGGCTGGTGGTCCTGGGTTCTAGAAGAAAGCAGGCTGAGCAAGCCCTAGGGAAATAAGGAGTAAGCAGCAAGCCAGTGAGCAGCATCCCCGCCCCCACCGTGGCCTCATCATTAGTTCCTGCCTCCAGGTTCCTGTCCTGGCTTCCTTTGATGACCAACAGCAATATGCAAGCATAAACCAAAGAAACTCTTTGCTCCTCAGTTTGCTTTTTGGTGTTTCATCACAGCAATAGTAACCCTAACTGAGACACCAATCTGGCCTCAAATTTCCAGTTCGGCTTCCCAAACACTATGATTACAAGCATACATCACCACGTGCAGTCCCTCCCACACGTTTTTACCTTTGTTTCATTACATAGTCATTTATTTATATCGTATGTGGGGAGCATGCCGTGACACTGTGTGTGTGTCGGAAGATAACTTTCCAAAGTCAGTTCTGTCCTTGTGGTTCCTGGGGATCAAACTCAGTTCTCAAGTTCTCAGCCTCGGCAGCAAACTCCTCTACCCCCTGAGCCATCTCTAAGACTATATTTTGATATATCTCTCTCCCTCATTTTTTTTAAAGATTTATTTATTTACTATGTATACAACATCGTGCCTATAGGCCAGAAGAGGGCACCAGATCTCACTATAGATGGCTGTGAGACACCATGTGGTTGCTGAGAATTGAACTCAGGACCTCTGGAAGAGCAGCCGGTTTTCTTAACCTCTGAGCCATCTCTCCAGCCCTCTCTCCCTCATTTTTAAAGATCATTTTTAAGAGTAAGAACTGTATTGTTCTTCCCTTTGTATTTTAGCTGTTGTCACAGCAGCTGTGGAGATTACAACCGGACTACCGACGTTGATTGAGCTGCTGGAAGGTAGGTAGAGCAGCAGAGCTTCTCAGAAAATCAAAGTGTGAACAGAGTAGATGATCCAAGCTGGGGGAGGTGGGAAGGCATACTGAAAGCCTTGACTGTTGCACTGAAGGATTTTTGGTTTTGCTTTTGTCATGCTGGAGTCCAAACCCAGCACTTTGTGAACTGGCCAAGTAGGCTACCACTGAGCCACACCCAGAAACCTAAAGCATTTTATTTACATCATGGAGGTGGTGGGAGAAGGCTTTCAAGACCTTTAGATGGATGAAGTTATTTGCTTTAATTTTTTTTTTCCAGAGACAGAGACATTGACAGCCTGGTCACCTAATGGCTTTCTGCAGGATGCTGAGGAGGAGAAGCAGGACATGAAACTGGAGACTGAATCAATAAGCCCAGGTGCTTTTCAAAAAAAAAAAATGCTGGTTAATGGGCTACATAGGGAGTGAAGAATTAACTTACAGTCTGTAGTCATTCATTCAGAAACACATAGGGGCCCCCTTCGCACAAGACACAGGCTGAATGCTGGGAACAGACACCACCTACCATCAGACTAGGGTGCAGAGTAGTACCTTGGTCAAAGGCAGACTCACCCCAGCCCTCCGGCTCTCACCTCCTGCCAGCTGACCTTGGCTAACTTACTCGAGCCATCTGTACCGCACAGGTGTTCTATGCTTGAGTACTAACTCTACCCTCACAGGTTCAACAATCCTCCATCCTTGAAAAGCACTTAAAATTCAGTGCCTGTAGGGAGCCCTGGAGGTGCCTTGAGACAGAAACCCAAGTTTAAAAAAAAGAAGCAGAAGCAGCAAAGAAAGCCTGGGCTGGAGTTCTATAATATGGGCTAAAGTGAGTAAACAGAGATAGCCAGAAGGGAAGTGAGTGCAAGGAGGAATTCTTTTTCTGGTTTTGGTAAAGTTTTTTGGTTTGGCTTTTCTTTTAACCTTTTGTTGCTCGGTTATAGTAAGGTTATGAGAGATCTGTGTTTCTTCTTTTTCTTTGGAGATTTATTATTTACTATGTGTATAGTGTTCTGCCTGCATATACACCTGTGCACCAGAAGAGGGCACCAAATCTCACTTTTGAACCACCATGTAGTTGCTGGGAGTTGAACTCAGAACATTTGAAAGAGCAACCAGTGCTCTAAACCTCTGAGCCATCGCTCCAGCCCTGAGAGGTCTCTATATTTCTTAAGTGCTTCATGCATTCACACTGTCAGCCCCACACTGGGAAAACTGTCACTATCATCTTCCTCACCAAGGTGTTTTCTCAGTCATGTTCAGGACACTCGATCATGTTCTGGTGGAGCTGTAAGGACCCAATTTCTTCAATGCCAGCAACTTCCTCTATCAGAAGGCACAGCCGTTCCTTCTCATGCAGCTCATCTGCCTCCTGGAGGAAATAAGAGACAATGTCAAGGATGATGATGGTGGCCTTCATGTCTGGGGGAATGAGCAGTTTCAGCAGCGGCCCCAAGACTCCAGAGTACACAGCACAGTCAACCGGCCCTGAGAGGTCCCTGTTGCCAAACTAGTCACAGTCCACAGCTTCTTTATGAACTCTGAATTGTGCATTCTTTGGTAAGGCTACACACAATCAGCTGCTGGATGTAGTGGTTGGGCCCAGCAGCCCCATTGCTCAAGGCTCACGCAGTCTCCTTCTGGAGAGAGGACTTTGGGTGCCTCAGGAGCTGACCTAATACCTTCAGCATGCCAGCATCGATGGCCATCTGGGTCTGTTGGTCTGTTTCTGTGACAATGTTGCCCATAATGCTGAGAAAATGGGTCAAACATTGAGATCCCAGTTGGTCATGAACTCAATGAACCTGGGCAGAACGGTAGAGAGAATATCCTTTATATTGTATGGAGGCAACACCTGTCAATAAAAAGACCTATGGCCTATAGGAAAGGGTAGAATAAAAGATGGGACATCTGGTAGGCAGAAAGGATTCTGAGCCAGTCAGGAGAGATTTGTCCAGAAAGATATGAGGAGGACACATACATGGTACTTGAACAGAGGAAACCAGCCACATGGAAGTATGTAGATTAGTATAAATAGAATAGTAAGTTGATAGTCAGAGAACAAGCATCAAAGGTTTTTTTTTTTTTTTTTTTTTCTTTCATGTCAGTTGTTAAAAATAAGTGCCAAATGAGGGAGGGAGAGGAAGACAGGGCAGGACATGGTGGCAGAATCCCCTCTATTGGTAATAAAGTTCCAGGTTCATCCCATCATGGATTTCATAGTCTCCCAGAGACACGTGGTCCTTAAAAGCCGAGTACCACTTCTTAAGAACGATCTTACTCCAGCGGGTGCTGGTTTGCGCCACTATCAGTTTCTTGAGGCCTGGATCGTGTCCTCGGCGTTGCGCTTCACGCGGACTTCCTTTCCCAGCCAGTCGTTGCAAACCACCTCAATCATTGTGGCTGGAGCTCTAATCTACTCCTTGACATGATGATCTTTGACTTTTGAAAACCCTAATTCGAAGCGGGTGTGGTGGGGCATGCCTGTAACCCCAGTACTCCCAAGGAACAGGCAGGTGGCTCTCTGTGAGTTCAGTTTGACACTGGTATTGATGCTCATTTTTAACAATTCATATGAATTAACATTTTGATGCTGCAAGAAAAAGAATAAAAAATTTAAAATAACAACATAAACTGATAAGGATTAGATTCCAACAGAGAAGGTGTCCTGAATAAAGAGAGGACATAGTTTATCAGAAAGCTTGGGCATTGGGATGACCCTGGATCTTGATGACCAAAAGAGGGGATTCCTCCACCGAGTCCCACCCTGTCTTCTTCTCCCTCCCTCCCTTGACACTGGCATAGATGCTGATTTCTAACAATTGACACGAATAAAAACTTTGATGCTGCAAAATAAATAAATAGAAAAAAATAACCGTCTTTTCAAATGATTTATCTAAGGTACATTGCTTTATTGGCATGAAGTAAAATATATGTTTTCTGCCGGGCATTCGGGGTGGTCTTCGGGGGGGGAGTGGTATGAGGGCTTGGAGGGGTGGTCAGAGTCTGGGGTGCACACGCATATGTAACCCCAGCACTCTGGGAAGCAGAGGCAGGTGGATCCCTGGGAGTTTGAGGACAGCCAAGGCTAGCTACATGTTGAAACCCTGTCTCCAAAAACCAAACCGACCAAAGAAACAGAACCAAAATGTGTTTTCTTAAACCACGAGTCTTAGTTCCTTGTTAGAATGTTCAACTGCAGGTTGTCACATGGCCCTTGCCATCTTGTATATCAGCTTTTGAGTTTTCTTCAGAAAGAAAAAGGATGTTTTTGTTGTTTGGATTTAAAAACAGTTAAGAGAGTAAAAAGGTTTTAAGCAAATTCAAAGGGTTGCTACAGTTCAAACTCATTCTCTCTCTCTCTCTCTCTCTCTCTCTCTCTCTCTCTCTCTCTCTGGTTTTTCAGGACCAGGCTGGCCTCAAACTCACAGAGATCTGTCTACTTCTGCCTCCTGAGTGCTGGGATCAAAGGCTTGCACCATCAAGCCTGGCTTCAAACTTGTTTTCTAACGAGTTGGAGTGATTTGGAGCTGAGGTAAGATGTTCAAGTAGGGTGATGGTATCCACGCGTTTATCCCAGCTTAAAAAGTCACATCTCTTATTTTCTAAATTCTAGAGTTGCAGTGAGTAAGGTTGTGGTGGTGGCGCCACCAAGGGACAAAACTCAGACGCAGCTCCTAATTGGTATGTTGGCACACTAGAGAAATCACATTCCACATTTACAGATTATTATAAAAAATCTCTACAAGGTTACTAGAAAGGCAGCTGATTTACAGTGGGGACAGGGACAAAGAGCAGCTTTTGCAACTGCAGGTCACCTCAGCTCCGTGCAGGCGAACCTGAGCAGTACTGAAACAGATGTTCCCACTTACAAAAACATGTTCATTGGGGAATTGGCAACTGGGGACTCTTCATGAAGCAACAAGGACTCCACCAACATCTGCCTGTTGGCTTCTATTGCAAACACTTTCCATATATGAAGAATAAATATTCTCTCCTTGAGAAACAAATCTGATATTTTAGGGACACAGAGAACCTTATACTCCATCATTGCCGACCACCCTGTAGTCATAAAGGTGCCTCTTACAGTGACAGACTGGATGGTTCCAAGGCACAGTCCTTCACAGGCTTAGCCATGAAGGTCGGCTATTACAGTGAAACTGGTACCTATCTGAAGTCCTTCCTGACCAGGATGTGGTAGCAAAGGGCTCTGAGCCCACCCACACTGAGGAAATAGATCAGTTGCCTCTAATCTCCATTCCTAAATCGCTCATCCCTCCCCCAAAAGAGGCACCTATTCAACTGTGAGGACCAAAGGAATGGTCACAGCATTTGGCCACTGCATGGATTTCTGATGCTCCCTCAACCACTGATGGAACCAAAACTAATGGAAAGCGGCAGCCTATGTGGGCGGGGAGGATGCAATGGCCAGTACTGAGGAAGACACCACAGAATCGGTGCAGTCCTGTTGGCTACATGACAAACACCTAGGAAAGCAAAAGGAAAATCTCTACCTCCTCCAGTTCATGGCGCATGCGCAATGGTATAGCTATGTGGTCATCAAAACGAAAACCACTAACTAACGGATAAATGGCAAAGGTGTCTGGTCATGGGAGGCTTGAACGGAAATGGCAAAACTTAGCCAAGACGTCAAATTTATGTAAGTCATACAGGCAAGACAGACAAAACATCTGAAAATAATGAAATAACGGACAAATTGGCAATATGTTTAATTAAGGCTAGAATATTAATATTTGCCAGGGAACGAATTCAGAATAAACTTGAAAGTTTACCCCTAACACTAAAAAATAAGGGGAAATAGAGAACCAGAATAAAGTAGGAAAACCCTATGAGAATAACTATTCCGAGGAACCCATAGCCAGGCTGTCATGATAGTAGTCATACAGAGTAGTAACTCATTCTAGAAATAAGCTACATGTAGCTTCCTGTATGTGTTTGCAGGTTTGAGTCTGAAGTAGGTAATGAGGAACAAAGTTTGTGTTTAATCCCAACACTTGGGCAGTAGAGGCAGGCACACAAGGATTACAGTGACTTAAATGTAAAGGCTACTTGTAAAAGGCAGGCTGAAATTCAAAGTGAATGTCCTTTGTGATCTAAAACTAAATTCACTGAAACCCTGAATTCATATATAAAGAGAAAGGGAAATATAGGTATATTTATCCACACATAGTAAGGTATATTTAGTTTCAAAAGAATTTTTAAAATTTCAGTTCAAAGATACATTTTTTGTTGTTGCCAAAAACCATTTTGCCCTAGGAAAGCTATAACCTGCCAAAAAAGGAATCCCCACAAAGTTAGGGTTGGGGCAGAATTTTGCTTTTATGTTTGCAGGCGAATAAAAGCATACAGCTAAGGAATCCGGAAACTACTGGG